AAACTATTATTTATCTTTATTATTAATTTAATAAATCTTTGTTAATAAATTCTCTTATATTTTTATAAATTAATTGATATAAATATTTTGGCAGGCTTATAAATATATGATCGTATAAGGAGGACAGTTCTTGTGATGCTAATTACTATTGAGTTGCTAAGCAGCAATATATTGTAATCAGTGCAAAAAAAATGATTCACTTTACTATCTGTATTTAAAGCTGGTCGAACAATATTCTAATTATTTATAAAAGTTAATAAAGGATTTATCTATTCAAGGAATTCTTAAAAAGCTCCAATCTTTGAACACAAAGTTTTTTGATAGAGGATTATATGCTAAACCTTATATCTTTCTCTTAAACTCTTCTTTATTACTAAATTTAATTTTAATAATTACGTATATTATAACATTTGACAATAACCTATATTTTAATAATATATATATTTTAAACTAGTTGAACCTTATTTAGCAAACTTTATTAAAGTCAATATTTATATATATTCATACACATTTCTGTATAAAAACCATACTATAACATTAATTAATGAATATATACTAACTATATTGAGGTTTTTTTAAATATTAGATATTACTATTAATTTTTCTATTAGATAAAGATTAAAACTAATATGCCAAGGCATTATTGTTATTAATGTCACTAGTATATAAATAAAAAAAATTATTTTTTGTTATTTTATTTATATTTTTAATATATTTTTCCAACAATTTCCTTGCTAAGTTCTTTTTCTTATTTGCTGTTTTTTCTTCTTCTTCTTTATTTTTTATCACTTCTATTTGATATATTTTGTCCTTGTTTTTTTTTGTTTGACTTGCTGATATTGTTTATCTCTTCCTATTTAATAATTTCTTTGTATCTCTTTTTTCATGGTTTATTGATTACTTTTGTTGTTTTCCCTATGATTTTTTTATATAGTTCTTTTGTTTTTTCTTTTGCATACTGATAGACATATTAGGTTATATCTTTTGTCAATATTCCCTTGACTATGTGATTTCTTATGCACTCTTATATACAGTATATTTATATATTTGAATTATTATTTTTGAAGATAATAAAAATATTAAATATGATTTTTTTTAATCCAACTTTTAAACAATATATGTATAATATAAATTTGGAATTACACCAGAAAATTTCTGATTTATCTTCAAAAATAATTACATATTTATTAATTTTTTAAGAAAATTTAAGAAATAGCATTATAGGCAAGCTATTACTGAAATATGTAAGAAATATATATTTTTTACAATGTATATCTTGTTATATACAAATAAAATAAAAAAATTATGTTTATTTACAAGAAAAAAAAAAACACAATAAATTACTTATTAATCTACATACAAAATTTCTATATAAATATTAAAAAGCAAAAAATAAAAACTTGCCAAATCAAAGATTTACATTTTGCTAAATTGAATTATAATTATAAAATTCAATATTGAATAATATAATACTGAAAATTACAAATTTGAATTTGAAATCAATAATAATGATTTAATAACAATTCTGGTAACATGTTTAAAAATTATTTGACTTCTGATTACAAAATTTCACATTTCAAATAATTCAATAATTTTTATAACATGTGAGAAATGATTATTTGCAGTAATTTATAATGTCATGATTGTCAAGAAGGCAAGCCATTATTTCCATACATGATATAGCAAAAAAGGAAACAAAGGAATCTTTATTGTAGTTGCTTGTAAAATAATGAATGAATTATTATTTTGGAATCAATCAAAATCTTATTATCTTTAAAGTAAGCATAAAAGCATTATTATCAAGACGACTCTTTAACCTGTCTCACTCACAATTGACTTTTTTTTTTCTCAAAGTTTGATTTTTTAATAATTTCGCATGGAGCTTTACAAAAAAATCACCGAAAGCATCTATATTCGCGATGGTATCATCTATCGTGGTAATGACGCTATCTTAGCAAAAGAAGAATCCGAGGTCGAAAAGCAAGTAAACGAATTGAAAGCTTCACTCGAAAATATTGCTGATAGTGCTTTATTTGATTCGAATAACCCAAATTCATCTCTATCATGTTCCGCTAATGGCGGAACCGGTGGAGGCAAAGGAGATGGTGAAGATGATAGGAAAAATGGGGAGGATGATGGAAAAAATAGTGGAGATAAAAAAGGTGATGGAGATGGCATCCGTGATAATGTGATTGGAAATAATAATAATATTATTATATCAAATTTTAATCCGAGATGGTCAGAGAATGATAATATTGATATTAATGTTAAGGGCAATGAAAGGACTTTCCGTCATAATGTGGACGGAAAAAATAATAAAATGGCAATGTACACTTTAGATCCAACCGGGATTAAAAATCAATTGATCAACGTTAATGTTAGAGGCACCGAGAAACACATGCACGAAAATGTTTTTGGCAAGAACAACGAAGCGGACAAGTTTCAGGCAAATGGAGTTTTAGTCGATAACCAAGTATTAAGCGGCAATGTTAAGGGCATCGAGATGAACGTCCATGATAACGTTTTTGGACGGAACAACAAAGTGGTTAAGTTTCAAGCAAGTGGGATTTTAGTTGATAACAAAATGTGTAACATTGATGTTTCGGCTGCTCAGGCGGAAATTAAAGGTAATATAGTCGGAGATAACAACAAGGTGGATTCACTGAATATTGATGCTACCGGGATTAATAAAAATTTAAAAAATATTAATACTATAGCTGGAAAGGTGGAACTTAATGATAACGTGGTTGGAGATGATAACGGTGTGAATAAACTCGACTCAAGAGTCATTGGGATTAATAACAATAAAGACAACATCAATTTCACAGGAGCCGAAGTTACAGCATATAATAATGTGATCGGAAACAGGAATAATGTCAATTTCTTCAGGATAAACACAAGCGCAGTTGAAAACAATTCTAGAAATGTTACTTTTCACGAGAAAAGCGTTAATAAAAAGATAATTGGAAATGAAAATCGAGTAAATCTGATCAATGTTGATATGGATTTAATCAGGAATCAAGAATCGAATATAGAATATAAGACGGTAAACAATCACGAAAGTACAAGTGGAAACAACAATAAAGTAAATTCCTTTGATTTTGATTTATGTGCGCTTGAGAGACAAGTTAATAACTGCAGTATTACATCGGAGAATGAAGATCATAAAGATAATGGAGATAATAATGGAAAAATGAATGTGAGAGGAAAATTTACTGCGGCAAGCATACAAAGGGGAAATCTCATTATTGGCGATAAAAATGAAACAAAGTTATCCGCAACTGTAATTGGAGCTGGTGAGTCTTCAGGAAACATATGCATTAGCAAACCATCATTTGGCGTTGACATAGGTATCAGCGGTCAACGTGGCTTTGGGAATATAGACATTGGTACTCGGTTAAATTTAAATATTGGTCTTTCCTTCGGCCTTGGAATACCATTTTTGGGGTCAGGAGGCAAAAATGAAGGTGATCGTAAAAGTGATGGGCTTCAAAAACGTGATAGTAATGAACAACGACTCCAGCATGAAAGCGCTCAACGTGATGAATCCCAATGTCCCCAAGATGGGAACTCTCAATATGATAGTACGCAAGATAACAACATCCAACGCCAACGTAATGGTGCTCCACGTTCTCAGGTCCAACGTCCCCAAGACGACAGTGTTCGACATAATGGCACTCAAGATGACAACATCCAACGTAATGGTACTCCAAGTCCTCAGGACGAAAGCGCTCAACGTAATGATTCCCAGTGTCTCCAGGATAAAAATTCTCAATCTGGTGGTACTCAAGATAACAATGGCAGCATTCAACGTGATGGCACTCAAGATAACAAAGTCCAACTTAATGGTGCTCAACACACTCAAGATGGTTCTCAGAAACGTGATGAAAGTGACAATTCAAGTTTGGATAGAGGAAATACTAATGGAGGAAATAGGTCATCATTTATTTCACAGGTTTTTGGAAGATATGAATCTTTAGGCAGAAATGGTTTCCAACTTTTTTCTTCTAGCGGTGAAAATAATCTTATTTCCACAGAAGAGTTCGGATACATCAACAATAACTCAACTTCCAGAGGTCACTTATCCTCTAGTAATGAAGTTCATTCATCTTCCGTTTTCTTAACTAGTAGCGGTATTTCGTCGCCCTCAATTGTCAGCAATATTCCTTCATCATCATCCTTTTCTTCATCTTCTACTGATGGTGATATTTCCTCGCCTTCTATTGCCAGTAATGTTCCTTCATCTTCCATTTTCTTTACTGGTACCGACATTTTCTCTCCCCCTATTGTTAACAATAGTCCATCATCATCTACTAATGACGATATTTCCTCGTCTTCTATTGTTAGTGATGCTCATTCATCCTACCTTTCTTCATCTTCTATTACAAGCAATATTACTTCATCTTCGATTTCTTCACCTTCTATTTCTAGTAATATTCCTTTATCTTTCAATTCATCCTCTGTTGCTTCATCCCCAGTTCCCTCGTCTTCCTCATCTTCCATTGGTAGCAATATTTATTCGTCCTCTATTGGTAGAAATACTTTCACATCCTCTACTAGAAGAAGCAGCAATATCGATTTATTCCCCTCTACGCCCAGTCAAGATTCTACACAGGCAGATCACGACCACCCTCTGAGGTCATCTCCGAGTTCGAAATTTAAAAATGACAATACAACTAATTCTAGTCGCATTGGCTTGCAATCAAATAATGATACAAGAACTAATGAGAAAGTAAACCCACAAAACCAGACGGCATTCGAACGAGCTTTGGTTGGTGTAATTCAAGAAAATCCACGGTTGGCTATGGCACTTTATGATCCTCAAACTTCTACAGATCAGCCAACTAAACCTTCAGAAGGAAAAGCCTCAGACTCCAAATCAAAGCCCGTTGAATCTTTTAAACCAAGTGACCTTAAATCTCTCATCGAAATGCGTGTCCGTCGCGCTAAAGCCGCTACAAATAGAAATAAAGAGGGCAATGATACTTCCTCTTCCAACGAGGGTAATCACGCATTTCCTGTTGATAATAATCAATTGTCACAAGAAAATTCTAAGAAAGAGAAGGAGGAGGAGGAGGAGGAGGCAGTAACGCCTGTGGGACCATGTAAAAGTCATCCGCCCAGCGTTCGCTGTTTCCGTTGCCTCACAGGTGATGGTGGAAAAAAAGTGAAACGCCTGAAAGGCAATGTGTTTAGTTTTGCCAGCTAGGTTAGTTTTAAATGTTAAATATTTTACAGATTTATATTTACATATGTCGAAATTTTTTATTTAAAAATTTTGTTCTACGAAAGACTATTATACAATAAACTATAAGTCATACTTTCTTAACTGAATCCAAATCATTACAACTAGACCATCACTAAGTATAAAACTCAATTCATTGCCATAGTTAAAGAACGATCATAACTTGGAGATGTGATAAAATTGGATAATATAATCCCGAGTTCAAATATTTGAGTTTCTTGTTCTTGAATTCGATTTCAAATAGTTTTATGTTGGATGTCCTGCTTAATTACATACTGTATATAACGAGATCTCTGAGCATGCTTATGATGTATTGTTGATTTTGCTTTTCAGCTAGCACTTCTGCATTAGTTAATTATATTATAAAGACATGACTATTTTTTATTACTTATATAATTTCTGGCTACATATACAATATAATAATTAAAAAGGTAAAAAAGTAGAGAAAGTAGAAAAAATAGTAATCATGACAATCAATTGACTTTAGGTAATTTAATTAACTGTCTTTATAATTTCTTAATAATAATAAAATTATTTTATAACAATAGTTAATTATAATTAGTAATATTTTTGAAAATTAATTTATTTATTATTTAAGTTATTATTTAAATTCTTTTTAAAGTCTTTTATATCAAAAGCAAAAACAATATAGATAAATAAATATATTGTATATACAATAATTCTTATTTAAAAAAAAATAGAAAATAAAATAGTAACAATTAATTTTAAAAAAATCAAAGTATATACAAAAGATAAAAATAATAAACAGATCAATAAACTTGCAAAAGTAAAAAGTGAACTAGAATACAAATATGTTATAGATACAGACAGTCAATATATTAAAAATATGATATGTATACTTTAATAAAATAGTAAGAATCTAAATATAAATACTAATATATTTATAAAATAATAATAAAATACAAATAGATTAACAGTGGATTATATAAAGAAGATTTAAAACATGGTTTAGAATAAAAAATAAATTAAAAAAAAAACATAAATATATTTTTTATTAGAATTTTAATAAAATATCAAATTAATATTAAAACCATATTAAAATAATATTGATTTATAATAAATTTAATATGTATATTGTAACTTATATAAATTTAAGTCAAACTTTATATCTTTTTTATATAATTTATATATTGATAAATTTGTTATTTTATAAACTTTTAATAATATTATTTTAATATCAATTTAATATTAGTTTTATATTTAAATTTATTATAAATCAATACTATTTTAATATTATTTTAATATTAATTTAATATTTTTTTAAAATGTTATTGTTTTATTATTATTTTATAAACCTGTTAATATTTATTATATATTTGAATTTTTACTATTTTACTATAATATATACTTATAATATATTTGTATTACAACTTTTTACAAGTTTATTTGTTTTCTTATTGTTTTGTTTTATATATATATATTGATTTTTCTAAGATTAATTAATATAATTCTATTTTTTATTATTTTTTAAATAAGAATTATATTTTTATTATTTTCGATTTTTATGAAAATTTAAATTTAAATATATATTTTATACTTTAACTATTTATATAATTATTATTATTGTTATACTTAAGCATAGAAGTATTAATATTTAAATCTTATATAAATTTTTTTGTTTTAAAGAAATCATTTATATTTTTACCATAAATAAAATTTTAAAAAATTGAATAATATATTGTATTATATACAGTACATATTATTAAATCATAAAATATTGTAATATTTGTTAGATGTTCAAATAACTATATTACGGTATTTATTATTATTGATTTAAATATTGTTAGTATAAAATTATTTATAGAAATATTAGTTTTTATTTTATATAAAATTATTTATTTCTAAAGAACCTTGAGAATTTATTGATTTATAAAAAGATTACAAAAAGTAATGAAAATGCTGTATCAAAATTATATTTAATATTACAGTACATATTGTATTTACTCATTGAAAAACAATTAATTTACTAAATAGAAGGTAACACGATTTACGTGATTACATTTAATTCTTATCATGTTAAAGTGAATCAGAATAAAGTGTGATACACGTCTTTTTTTTGTTTTCTTCGGGCAATGTTTATTGATTGTATGTGTGATATAATTGTTAGAGCGCCAAAAATATCAAGTTCGCCCTTTGTTGGGAATTTGTGACAATAACATTTCACTCGATTGTGATGTAGAGAGAAATAAAGAGATCAAAACTTTTTTTCTCCCTAATCTTTAATGGACAAGATCAGATCACAACCCCCGTCTCGGCTGACAATGATTATGAAAATCCCAATATTCCTGTTGAATTCACGAAAATGCTTTTTTTTTGTTAATCTATACGTGTGAAATCGGTTATAAAAGTAATTTGCAACATTGAGTTCTTTTATCTTCTAAATTTTCCGGCAGCTTTTTAATCGAAACACTTGGTGTCATTAAAAATAAAAGAGATGGAAATAAATGAGTTGATTTATGTGCGTGGGGCTGTCCACAATAAACACGTCTCTCGTCGACGTCCTGTTCCAACGATTTTCCTCAGGAAGGAAGACGTTCAACTGCAATCTCTTTCTAGCATATATGAAGACATTTCCGGGCGGTACAATCTTGAGACGAATGATTATGTTTCCAACTCAATTTTGGAGCTAAAACCAAATGAGATCTTTATGTCATTGACTGACCATTTGACGTATCGAAGACGATTTAAACATGCCAACGAACGAGAATTCGTGAAGAAGCAAAAGAAGTCAGTCCCACAGCTCATACTCTACTGGGAGACGGTTTGGTTGGTCGGTTCAGGTGCTGCACGCAGGTGTGCTGGTTGGGTTTTTGAAAATTAAATTACATTTTTACGTATATGGAGATGAATATATATCTATTTTAATTAAAAGTTTAGTCGATAGCTTCAGGAACGTGTAACACTTTATTTGTAATAATAAAAGTATGTGATTTGTCAAGAAGTAATGTATCGTTGTATGACTTTTCCGGTGTATCTGAAATCCACTATTTTTACCCAACTTTCAAAATCCGAAACTTCATAAGTCCCTGGAACGACACTTACAATGGCCGATTGATTTTCAAAAAATACTTTTGATTCTATAACATTTGGTTTGGAGTCAAAATAATTTTTTATCCTGTTGGTGCATCCTTCACAACTAATTCCATAGATCTCAAGAAGAAATACTTCTTTTTCCAAGTTCACAGAAAAGAATTTTTGAGTAGAAGGAATGTTTCCCTGATTATAAAAGGCCACAAGTTCAGGTGAGATACAAAGGAATAATGAGATTAGGATGGTAATTAGGGCTCGTCTTGATTTGAGACCATATCGAGTTATTGTCGTAATGATGAGGATTGTGGTGAAACTCAAGAATATTGGGCGATAAGGGGTCAATATGCTGAAACCGGCGCACCCAATGGAGAAGATATTGAACACAAGTTGAATTATACAACAACTGGAACTTAGTAGACCGGTTAGGATGGCCGAGAGATAAGTTAGTTTGGGAGAATCAAGGAAGTTCCTTGGATTTTCTGTTTTCATCTTGTTTGTCTTGAGGACATTGGAATGCAGAATATTTATAATTGTTGGTCTAGCGCAACCAGGATTTTTTTCGAGATCAGCTTATCATCAATTATCCAATGGATGTCTGTTTAGAATTACCTCTATCGTTATACATTTTTTCTGGTCATTACACATAATGTCAACCAAAGAAGAAGATTCGAATATACCTTTAACCGCCGCCACTTCGCCCATACCTCCGGAAAATCTGTCTTCTATAGCTCCGTCGATCGCTCTTCAAAAACCGCTCTCGTGGCCGTCCGCTCCGTCGGCTAACGAAGAACATCAGCACCTATACGAAGAAGAGTTAATACCACCTGACAATTTTACCATGATTTCAACCTGGGTTTACAGAAGCAGTTTTCCGAAAAAAAAGAACTTTGCTTTCCTGAAGAAGCTTGGTTTGCGAAGCATTTTGTATGTGTCAGCCTTTTATTCATATCTCTCAACTTTGAATCTGTACTATGGTGGTGATATGTTATATTCGTGTTTTTTCCGATAAAAATCGCTTGAAGTTGTAAAAATTGAAGATTATCAATTTTTATTTGCGATCTAATTCAAAAAAAAAAAAAAAGAACCTTGATTTTGGAAGAGTACCCTGAACAAAATATGAAGTTTTTGGAAGCAAACAACATCACGTTATACCAATTTGGAATCGCAGGAAACAAGGTACCCCGATTTATTTTCTCTTGCTAGATAAATTCGATTGATCCGATCTGGATTTAATTTAAGCTTTCTTTAAAAATTTTTAGGAACCTTTTGTTCAGAGTCAGATTCACGTCCCATTTTTTCCAAATTGCTTCCTGTTTATGCATTATTGATTCTTGACATTGTCTAAATGTAGTACCCGAAGATAAGATTTGTGCTGCATTGGCGGTTATTCTAGGTAGGCTATTCTATTTTATGCGGCCGCCGTATGTTAAATTAACATTTGTTCTGGATTAATAGATCAACGCAATCACCCAATTTTGATACATTGTAACAAAGGCAAGGTCCGTATCATCATTTCTTTTAAGATTCTTACGCTCTCTGAAATGTTCCATTCTAATTTTTCGCGTTCTCCAATAATTAAGCACCGAACAGGTTGTCTAGTCGGGTGCCTTCGAAAACTGCAACGATGGTCACATACCTCAATTTTTGATGAGTACCGTCGATTCTCTCATCCCAAGTCACGCTCAATGGACCAACAGTTTATTGAACTCTTTGATGCCAGTCAAGTATGGAAACTCGTTGATAAAAATCACATACCAAAGTGGGAATTTTTGGGTTCGTACCCTCAATGATTGCATTGGTCACATGCAAAGTGGAAGTTTAACAACTTTGTATGGTAATTTATAGGCGACCCTTGGTAATACAAAGAATGAATTGCCACAACTTTGGAAACTTGTTTATGGTGTTATGTTTATTTAAAAAATCCTGAATATCAAAAATAAGACCTTTGAACCGGCAATTGGATCTTATGATGGAGACTAGATTTGAAATTCCTCCTCATAACTTCGATATTTAATGAATTTAACAAAGAATTAATGAAAAGAGAGACAAAACTTTTATACAAAAGATTTCAATGAATAACCCCATAACTATATAATTAGGTATGAAATAAATACATAGAGAAATTATTTGACCAGAACAAATTCTTTTTCTAGCGGCCAATATGATTAAAATTTGTCAAATCCTCAGTTTTTAGGGGTGCTGTCTCATTACCGCCCTTTCATTAGGCAATTTAAAAAAGACCTTCCAAACAACAGCACAAGCAGGCACCTAATGCGATTCCAGCGCACAACCCTGATGAGTCACTTTTGGCGGGTTTCTGCTGAACAATTACTTGAGGAGGTGGTGTTGGTTGTGGTTGGTAGTATTGCTGTTGCGGAGGGTAGTAAGCTCCTTGTGGTGGCGGTGGGTAAGCAGCATAACCTTGAGGTGGGGGCGGATAATAGCCCTGCTGTGGTGGATACCCTTGAGGTGGTGGATTACTTCCTGGATAACCCTTATCTGCCATGCTTTTTTCAACACTTATTCTTATAAAAGCGAAGTTTCGTTTTTATAAAAATGAGAAGTTGGTTTTGCCAACATTTCTTGATTATATACACAATCACGGCGTACAGTGTTACACTACTGAAACGACAATCCTATTGTCCACTGTATATATTGTATCACATTAGAGAATAAATTATAAATTTTCTCTTACTATTTATATCGAATTACATATTACCATTTATATATAAAAAACTTATTGGCAGTAAATTATAATTAGTTTTTTCTCTTTTGTATATAATCTATGACGACAAATTAATAGCTATGTTTTAATTCATGTAATCGAATCATTCTGTTGTATAAGAACAATAAACCTATTATTAATCATGAACATGATCATAGATAATTACAAGATTTATATGGTTTTATTTTGAAACAAAAATATCTGTATAAAATTTATACAAAAAGTTTCAAAAAAAAAAAAACTTATTTATCAATAAACAAAAAAAATTAAAATTCCATAACAAGTCATATAGTTACAGTATATATAATAAATTCTGTTTTTAACAATTTGTTTTATATTTTTTAATAAAACTTTTGAATTCTATTTTGAATATTTCTTAAAATCATTCCATGATAATATTAGGATTTTTATTTTAATAAAAAATAAAACAGATATATATATTAACATTTAAAAATATATATATAATATAGTATATATATAGTAGAAAAGAAATCAATTAAATTATCATTTTTTTATTTATAACAAAATTTTTAATCTATATTAAAAAAATATTAAATATTTCATAATTATATTTATACATTACTTCTTATTATTTTTGTCTATAAAGAATTATTTAAACATATATATAATACTTTGGCTTCTTTTATGACCGTAGAAGTAAAATTGATAATTTAAAAATTTGACTTATTATTTTATTTAAAAAATTAAATAAATCAATTATTAATTTTTTTTTAAAGTTATTCTAAAAAATTAAAAATTATATTATAATGATTTTTTTTAATATACAGTAGCTATTCTTATAAAATAATTTGATAGAACATTGCCCTTAAACATTTAATTAAAAAATATTCTTAATAGCAATTTATATAAAACAAATACAATATGCCATTACGTAATTAAAGCCAACATCATTTAATTGATAAATATAATGATTTGATAAAGCCAAGAACAATGAATTATTTTCGATCAAAATTGATCTTTCAAAATCATGAATAAATTATTTCATTAATAAGGATTCGTGAATGAAAGGACCCAATTATTTTCAAGAGTTTCCATAATAATTACAGAACGAAATATCCTTGATATCCGTCAACATGAAGTAAGAAATTAATTACAAAAATCAGACTTTGTTCAACTAACTATTCGTTATCAACCCATGAACTAGCAAGTTTCCCAAAAAATGGCAGTTCAAATCGTTCCAGTGTTGCACCATCCAAGTATGCTCTATAACTGTTTCATAAAAAATATTTAGTTAGACATTAACTTAACTATAGTCGATATTTATTTAACAAGTACTCACGCGAAAAAACAAATAAGTCCTATTTCAACGACTAGTAGAATCCAACTCAGAAAATTCGAAATAAATAACATAATGAAATGAATTGCCTAATAATAATTATAATAATATAGATTAGTTGGTAAACGAACAAAGTATATATGACGATTTACCCAACAGAACAATATTTACAAAGATAACCGCAAAAAAGATCGAAGACTAGGAATTTTGTGGAAAAAAAATTTTTTTAGACTGAAAAATGAACGAAGACAAATGAGAATAGAATTATTTGTTCAGGAACAAGTTTTACCTGCCACGCATGAAACCGCACATAATCGTTTTTCTGCTCAACTATTAAAAACAAAACTCCTACAAATAAAAATATATGCAACGCAAACTGAAAATTTGCAATACAGGAAAAAAAAAAAAATAAATAGAAATTGATAATGCAAAGAAAAATACCAGTGATGCTGCCTAAGCAATAAGTCATGGCGGCCTCGATGTCAACCCTACGCGAAGAATGTTTAATCGTTGGTCTAAAAGGTTAAGAAAACTCTTACGCGTTGTTTAAGTTAAATTATTTTTTATACCTTATTGGTAAATTGGTTTCATATTTATTAACTTTTATTTGACCGTCAGGTAACTGTTCTGTAGTCTGATATACCCCGAAGGGATTAGCTGAAGTTGACGCTGAAGTGCTAGCACTAGGAACGTGTGCATAACGGATCGAATTTCGAGCTGTTTTTGCTTTTTGTTCGTCCGGGGGTAATGTATATGGGGAGAAGGTTGCCGGGTTTTGATAAGACATTTCTGTTCACGAGCTTTCTCGACAACCACAACAGAAGCTTTTTAGATGAGGCTTAATTTCTAATGATGTCATACGGCGCAGCATGAAACGCGACGCATTACTGCACGTGGCAAATATATTATATACTCCTTTTTTTATTTCCCGATTTATCCAGGACCTTTTTTTTTTCTTTACAACTATTACAACTATATGAAAGTATGGGAGACGAAATACAGTCTATCGGCATTCCAATTTTCGCACCCCGTAAATATACTCCTTTACCAACTCCAGAACTTGATAAGGAACAACATGAGAAATATAATGAACTTTCCAAATACGTAGACACTATATTATTACCAGATCAGAAGGAACGAGACTGGGCTTCTGAGACTTGCTTAAAACGTTACCTTCGGGCTTCCAAATGGAATTTAAACGATGCTAAAAACAGAATAAAAAATACTTTGGAATGGCGAAGAGAATATAAACCTCTCGATATCGACCCCAAAGAAGTAGAGCCTGAGGTAATGTTTTATTCATATTAAAAATTAATATATTGACATCGTGCTGACGAACATAATGAAACCATGATAAAGGCAGTCACAGGTAAAATCCATATCAATGGATTTGATAAACATGGCCGTCCTATAGTTTATCTCAGACCAGGATTAGAAAATACCAAAGCTGGACCACGACAAGTAAAGAATGTAGTATTTACTTTTGAGGCTGCTATTGCTATGATGCCAGAAAATGTAGAAAGCATTGCTATCATCGTTGACTTTCATAATTGCTCCGTTCGTACAAGTCCCGGACTGGGGATTGCTAAAGAATTTATGCATGTTTTGGGATCTCATTACCCTGAAAGACTGTCCATGGCCATGGTCATTAATGGTAAATATAATTTAATGTTCTCAAATAAGTGATTTACTAAAAGAAAATATTCATCTTTACATCTTCCCTAGCTCCTTGGTATTTTTGGAGCTTCTTTAGACTTATTTCTCCCTTTATCGATCCGGTCACTAAAGATAAAATAAAGTTTGTAGACCTTAACGCTAATGAAGAAAGCAAAAAACACCGAATCTTTGATTACGTTTATGAAGATCAATTGGAATCTGTGTATGGAGGAAATAATGTTTTTGTCTATAATCATGAGATTTACTGGAATGCATTGCTTGAAAGAGTAGGAAAAAAATAGACATTATTATTCGTTGCAAAAAAGGCAACGATAATTTTTTGAAACATTTAATAATGCTATTTAAACAAATTAGAAAAATGTTACACAATTATTTATTTATTTTTAATTAGATAAAATATAGAAATTATATTTTAAATGAATAAAGTTTAATAATTTGTTTATTTATTTATTCTATTAAACTGTGCTATTACTATTATACATGTTTTGTGTTACCATAAAGGAAATTTGATTGATAATATGATTCAAATATATGTTATTTAGTAATTTTACCATAATATGGCTTTTGAAAAATATTTGTGTTCTCATCAACCAGTCCAACAAAAATATTAGAAAACTCCGCAACAACAAATACAGCATTTTAATAGCCTTCAGAATCAAA